ATGCCATTCCAGTTATGGCAGTGGTGATGCACACTTTGTAACGTGTGATTTCTGGTTGCATTCTTCTTTGTATGCAGAGAAATCCTGATGCATTGATTGCTTTTGTTAGCAGTGATTTTTGTTTTTAACCATGTGCTTTGTTGCTAATCCTCCAATTTGTTGTAGATTGGGATTGTTGGCCGAACTGGAGCAGGGAAGTCTTCCATGACCCTCTGTCTCTTTAGGATCCTGGAAGCTGTAAAAGGGGAAATTATAATTGATGGTGTGAGGATTTCAGAGATCGGCCTCCATGACCTTCGATCAAGGCTGACAATTATTCCTCAGGTACTGTTTCTGTGTATCATGGTTTAGCAAACCACAGAGAATAGTTCAGATTGGTCTGGTCCTGCCACCTCGCAAACTGATGGGTGATAAAACAGAGTTTGTGATGAAGTATCTTTAGAGTTGTTTCACTAAAGTGGATGTTTCACTGTGTGTAATGCAATGTATTTTCAAGGTGGTTGGGATCAGGAGGAGGCTTAACTTCAGTGTGATGGACACTTGAAAACAGCTTTATGTACTAATGTCTGTACTTGTAACAGCTAATGGACTTGTCTAATGAAAGGTGGTTGTCTGTCCAGGATCCTGTTCTCTTTTCTGGAACACTGAGGATGAACCTGGATCCATTTAATAAATATTCAGATGAAGAAGTCTGGAAAGCTCTTGAACTGTCTCACTTGAAGAGGTTTGTCAGCAGTCAGCCAGCCATGTTGGAATTTGAGTGCTCAGAAGGTGGAGAAAACCTTAGGTAAGGAAAGTTTGCATTAGAAACATACTGTGAGTTTTCATTCAGCCCTAACAGCAGTAACAGCTTAACACTGTAGTTTGTTGTGTGCAGTAGTATGTAGCCCCCTATTTCTGATGTAAGCAAGGCTCAAACACTGAGTTGCTGTTCTGCCACTTCTGGAAGGATCCGGTTCTCTTTTGCTGCTGGGAAGGATTTCTGCCAAACCAAACTCCTGTCTTATCGGTATAGGAAGAAGGTTTGGGATGACAGTGTCAGGAACACTTAAACATTTGGTGGATTTGATAGGAAGGGAAATACTGTGGTGATGTGTAACTGTTGTGCTGGGTGAGAATCCTCTGCCTGAAGTGATGTCAGCAATGGTTGCTTGTTGTTAGTTAGGAAGAGCTTGAAGAAGGACGTGAATGAGATGGCAAAGCATCATGCTTTGATAGGCTCTATTGCTTCTGAGAGCACGGTGTAAGCAGATGATTGTTTGATGATGTTCATCCTCTTGTCCCACAGAGACGCCCAAAGGCCGTGTCTGGGGCAGTGTGGGCCACCCACTTATTTTATTTGGTGGTAGAAAGGATGTGCAGCCTCAGAACTTTTTGATTTTATTTTTGAAAGTCTGTGTATGCTCAGTGTTGTTCCAGCTGTGTGCTCCTGAGGACTGGGGCAGAAGCACTGTGATTATTGGTTTTTGACGTAGTGGCAGAAAGGGGGGGGAGCCACGTTTGGTGGCTCTGCCCAGGCGCTAAGTGAAGGCTGAGTAGTGCTGCAGTGAGCATTTCTTTGCTCCTGGGCTGACACGCTGCTTGCTAAATACCTGTTCTGTTTTTTGGTTGGGTTACTTTATCCATTGAGAACAAATGATTCTGAGCCATGGGAGCTGCAGGGCAGCGCAGCCTCTGAGAAAGCCTTGTCTCTGCCTGCAGTGTTGGCCAGAGGCAGCTCGTCTGTCTGGCAAGGGCGCTGCTCCGCAAGACGAGAATCTTAATCCTGGATGAAGCAACAGCAGCTATCGACCTGGAGACGGACGACCTGATCCAGATGACAATCAGGACTCAGTTTGAAGACTGCACGGTGCTGACAATAGCGCACAGGCTGAACACCATTATGGATTACACAAGGTAGGACTTGTGGTGGTGCAGCCTGCATGCTGGGTATGGGAAGCAGCACTTGGAGGGCTGGTTTGTCTCCACAGAGTCACAGTGATGCTCTGGTCCAGATCAAACAAATCAAACAACAGTTCAGGGAGAACATCAGCCATCTATTGTGCTTCCGTGTGGGAACACAACTGGGCACAACAAAGTCCAGGGAAAGAGCGGAGCGTTATGGATATTACATTTTCAGAGAGGAATTTCTCTGATCTATCTTCTGCCCCCTTTGTTCTGCACAGGATTCTTGTGCTGGACAGCGGAGCCATTGCAGAATTTGATACACCTGCAAACCTTATAGCATCAAAGGGGATTTTCTACGGTATGGCTAAAGATGCTGGGCTGGCATGAGAAGAAGACCCCGTCCTGAGGGCGCTTTGGTTTTGGTTTGTTGTTGTTTTTAATGTTACTGACTTGCCACAGAAGTGACTTCTGAATGTACTGTAATTCACATCAGTTCTTGTAGGTGATTAAACTTGTGATAAGTGAACTGAGCATTTTACAATGGTAAGGACCGGAAAGTTAATTTTATATTTTTTAAATATTTTCTATAAAGTATTTTGTTAAATGTTTTTTTTTTTCTCCAAAGAATGCCAAGAAAATGTATGTGTCACAAGGCAACATGTACTGCACTTCGTTTATGATTAGTAAAATTATATTCATGGTACAAAATACAGCTGCTTTGTGTCTTCTGGATAGAGACCCGTTGGTTCTGAGGTGGAAGGAAGGGCCTGCTTAGGCAGCAGCTCAGCTTGGAAACATGGTGATAGAATGCTGAGTTTCAGAGTGGTCGGATGTGTACCTGGCAGTATTTCCCCAGGATGAGTTGGTGTCCCCTGCATAGGGAAACTTCAGGGTTATAAAGTTCCTCTTCTGCTGCAGAGCTAGGAATAATTTGTACGTAAACCTAAACACATGGCTTAATGTGAGCAATGAATTGCAATTCCTGCTTGCGTAGCAGATGCCCACTACATAAGCCTGCAGGGACACGATGGCACACTTTGTTCTATGTCCCTCCTGTATGAAGTTGTCCTAAGCTGCTGTTCCAGCTGCACGCATGCGATGCAGGGATCACGGTCACAGAATCACAGATTGGGGACGAGGATGAGGGCGTTACTTCTCTCCCTGAATGCTTATCTCCTGAAATAATGTGATTTGTGCTACAGATGACGTTACTGCCTTATTGCTGATGCTGATAGTTGGGCCCTCTCAGATGAAGGGCAGTGCTGCATTATAAGCAGCATTTGCTGCTGGGATCTCACAGCATGGCCTCTATGCTGTGGCAAAATGCCATGTGAGAAAAGGGTGCAATGTTTCTCTGTAAGAGAAGTTCTGAGGAACTTTGAGAAGACAAAAATAACTGTTTATTAATTGTTACAAATGATACTTCTGAAATCGAAACAAGAATCTGCAGCCAAGCATTCATTTGAAATTAACATTTCACACAGCAATGCAGAGAGTAACAACTTACTTATCATACACACAATGTCACAGTTGTAAATGGTCAGATGAAGTCAAGAGAGTTATAATATCTTCTATGCATGAACTGCACGCTGTATAAAAATATTCTCTGAATGCATAGTTATCTCCACGCGGCCCCAGCCCTGCAGCTGGGCTTCACTCCAGGAGCTCCGGCTGCTCACCTGCACAGTCTGTGCCCCGATCTGCTGAGCTGCCACGTGGAGAGCCCGTACCAAACCACATCTGTTGTGCAGGGCTGGAAGGGCTCCAGCACGGCTGGGAGCTGTGCCTCCTCCTGTCCCCGTCTCGCAGAGGGAGGCGAACAACAGACTGCAGCCAGAGGAAGCATCTCAGGTGGGAAGAGTGGTGAGGAAGTCCGGGATGCACTTTGCACCTCGGCTCCTCCCGCTGGTTTGGGCGATTCCGTGCCAGCACACGGCTGCTGTCAGCCCCAGGGCTGTGTGCAGTCACGGCTATGGCAGGCTGCCATCACTGGATGCAGGAAGGTGAGGTGCTGTGGGTGCTGCAGTTCCCGAGAACGGGACAGGGAACAAAGCAGCAGTGGGAAGCGCAGTCTGGCTGCGTACGTTGTTTGCCTGCTACATTGCTGCTTCACTTCCTTCATCCAATTCACAGTATGTGTTTTTACAGTGATGCTACCAGAACAGATCTCTACACCAGAAGCAGATAACCAAGTAAATATTAACATCCGAAAAAGAGAGATAAAATCCAGCTCGCTGTCGTCTTAAATACTTCTCATTTTATTTATTCCAGAACATCATACCAAAGCAGTCTGATTCTGAACTTTATGGAACAGGAACATGGTTTTTTGGTTTTGTTTTTTCTTCCAGTAAGCAACAAAGGCAAGAGCAACTTGCTGGGGAAGAAAGCCACATTGCATAGGAACATCATGATCTCAGCGTGAGCTCAGCGCTGGGCCTTTCACTGATCTCTTCTGACATGGCCAAGCTTAAAGTTTCCAGATGAGCCCTTTCTCAGGAATGCAGGCGAAAAAGGACAATAAAATTACAATTGTTGTGCTTTTAAAGGGGAAAGAAAAGCAGCACTGGACAAACGCGCTTCCAACACATAACAAAAACAGTATTTTGAATTGCACGTGTCAATGCTGTCCCCTGACAAGACAGTGAGAAAATGGGTCTGTGGTTTTGGAGAAGAGTGTTTTTATCATTTGGATGATTATTATCACTGTGTTTTTGACCTGAGAAATAGGGAAAGGTGCAAAGAGGTATTAAGAAATCACAGGCAGTACATTACTTAACAGTATTGAAACAAGACATTTTTGTGCTTCTTCCACGGATTTAGAACCCTTCTGGTTTGAGATGACTACAGACAAACGCTGTGGAAAGTGAGCAGCAATGGTAACAGACTCAGTACAGACAGTAAATGGGTTTTTTGGAAGGTTTTTTAACACGAGAACCTCTGCTGTGTTCCAGCACACCGACTGGCAGTGCAGGTTAAGGGAAGCCCTTCCCTGAGAGCTGCCCCACTGCAGGATGATGGTCTGTAAGGGGCACTGATGGGGACTTCGCAGCAATACTTCCCATGCACGAGCTGCTCTCACATCAGAGTATTTCACATTAACTAGAGGTACCATCTTTAGTGCAGAACAGCTTCAGTTTATTTCAAAGTTAACAAAATAGATTTTTTTCTTCGCATCATTAGCCCTTATAGATACCGTATTTCAAAAGTAATTTTAAAATGAGAGATAGAAATAGTTTTATTCTTTAAATGATTAATAGGTCAGTTCTGATGCCTTCTTGTTATAACCACTCTGTTCGGAAAGTGCTGGGGCTCTGAAAGGGAAGTTTTTGTCGCTTACTGTCAGAACAAGTTCCAGTTCTTGGAAATCCTGTAGCCTTGCCACATCTTTGTCCTTTGAATAAATACAGTAAGTTTTATTAGCTGATGAACCACATGTTCCATTTTGCAGTGGTACACTAAAATAATAGGCTTATAGTACAACAAAGCATGTATTTATCCATATACGTGACAGTTCTTTAAACTGGAAAGCAGAGCTCCTGCTGCATCTTAGCTTTGTCCTGGCATCTTACGCAGCTACTTTTGAGAAGGACCGCAATGCTGGTGCTGAGCACAAGTGATGAGTGGAATTACACCTGTACATGTCTGCTCTGTGCTTTCTTCCTGTAGTACACTGTTCTGAGCTGCACCCCAGCCACCACACTTCCCCCTTCTGGTCATTCTTCGTGAATCACTGCACTGCTGGGAGCAGGCTGGGGCTGTGCTCAGGAGCTGGCTGGGAGCTGCGTGGAGCTGAGGGACGGCAGTGTCCCACAGCTCAGGCTGCACATGCTGCTCCAGCAGCAGCGTGCAGGCAGGTGCCAGTCCAGGCAGCGTCCTGCGGTCCCACCAGGGCGGTCTGAAGTACGGACTGGACAGACTCCCTTCAGCAGCAGCCTAAGTCAGCAAGTGGCAGAACTGCTTTTGTCTTTTTTTGTTTTTTTTTTTGTCTAACAAGGACTAAATCACTTTATACTCAGAGAAGATGCAGCATGCTGACCTCTGCAGTGCAGTGCCCATCAGTGCCCTGCCACTGTTGCCCACAGTGCTCTACCAGCACATGAGAGCCAAAGAGGCCAAGGGTTCTCAGCAGAGCTGTGCAGTGGATCCCTTCTGCGTGGCCTGTGACACCAAAGCTAAAAGACAGCCCTGTGCACAGGGCCACACTCAGACTCTCTCTCAACACTGCAAGTCCATGCAGAACTGCACCAACCCAGCACAGTGCTGCAGGGCACTGCTGGTGCAACAAGAGCTGAGCGATCAACAGCAGCAGTAAGAATCAGCCCCTGCTCAGTGCCTTCTGCAAGCACCGCAGTGACACTGTGGGACTGCGGTCAGTCTGACACAACCTGCAACACTACAACACCACCATGGTGCTGGGTGAGGGCACGGCCCAGGGACAGCTCAGCATCACAGTGCCAACCAACAGCGGAGCTCATCCTCCTCGCCTTTCCCTTTATGACAGCAGGCATTGCCCAAAGCAAACACTGTCATCTTTCTGGGACGCAGACGCAGTGCAGGTGATGAATGAATGAGTACTTTTTAATGATAACCTAAATAGTTTTTTAAATATATGCTACTGCATTCAGAATGAAGAGTTCTTACCTTTCTCAGCATTGTGTTTGGTAATTTTCTGATCTTCTGTACATGTTCAGGCTTAACACCCAGCTCACGGCAACTCACTCGGAGCAGTTCCTTATAGGTCAGCTCTTGTCTGTCCAGCTCAATTTCAATGAAGTCATTTTCTTTAAGACTAGGGTTTTGTATTCTAACTTTAAGCACCAGTTCTATTCAAAATAAAAGGGTACATTCACAGGTAGATGTGTAAAACAATTAGAAAACACCATTCTATGTATTTCTACGTTGTATCAGCCAGTCTTATCACCTGTAACAACACGAGAAGCCCCCACACCAGCAGCTGGGCAGCTGGCCGGTATTTGCACACAGAAGGGCCGCCTACCTCAGCTCCCAGCTGCTCCTGCAGACGGAGCCAGCCGAGCTTCTCTCTTGGGCTCTTCAGTTGAAGGAGATGCCACTTAGAGAACAGAGTTACCCCACTTTCCCTGTCCTTTTACAGTGTTTGAGACAAACTGCGAATGTTTGCATCGATATTTTAATAGTGGTTCCAGCAAGAACAGCACTGCCTTTTATACTGCCTCCAAACAATTCCCCGGAGCCTAACGCGCAAGAACCCGGACAGCTGCAGGAGCACTGAATAAACGTCACAGCAACTCCTCCACTGGCACCGTCCAGGGTGACAAAACCCGAGGAGAGGTGAGGAGAAACGCTTTTGCCGTTACCTTGCATATTAAGTGGAAAAGCTCCTGTGAAGAACACGGGCTGGAAGGTCGGCACGGGCCCCGTGCAGGAGCCGCTGCCCAGCGGAGCTCCGGGCTGCTGAGGTCCGGCGGGGGAAGGAGGAGCTGCGCCCCACGGCGCCTGGAGCAGCGCGCTCTGAGCTGCGGCCCCGGAGCACCGCAACCCGGCGCACACAGCGGGAGCCGCGTCCTCACAGCGCGCCGACGGCCGCACGCACAGCTGTGCAGCAGGCGGCAGGGAGGAGGCAGAGCTCTGCCGTTCCCCGTGGGACGCGCTGCCGTTGGCAGGGGGCTCCGGGAGGCTGCTGCTCATGGAGTTGTAAATGTACGGGAAAGGTGGGTTAGCCAGGTAGTTAGGGATGATGGGCAGCTCCGAATTGGTTGCTACGTCTGGGAGTTCGTCCTCTTCCACTGTAAAACAAACAACAGAACGTTATCTGAGGCTGGTCGGAAAAAAGCAGAAGTGCTGCTATTGCACTGTGGGATTTTATGTGCATTTTTTGTGTGCGTGGTGCTTGTGGGGGAAAAGGAGGGGTATAAACACCACGGGATGGGAGGTGAATTAAGGAGCTCTGCACCGCCTCTCTACAGTAAAGGAATTGTTCTCAGGTGTTGAAATACAGTGAATGCAAAAGCAGAATCTGATCCAAACAGTGCTGGGAGCACCGTTCCCTTCTGAATACTGCCATCCTTCTTTCTTTTTCACTTGATTTTTATATTCCTTTCCTAATCCGTAATTGGCACATCGTGGCACGGTCTCTGGTGGCACAATGCCATCATTTTCATAATGCAAAAGGCAATGAAACACAAAGGGTGCTTGATGTTGAGGCAGGTGTTAAAGGGAAAAGCAGGCACAGTGCTGAACTGAAACACCAGCTCAGCAGCTGGGAGACAATCGTGAAAACAAAAAGAAATACAAAGGGGAGGAGAAAGGCTGTTAATCAACCACAGTTCAAATTACTTCATCACCTGTTGCAGCAAGGCCTGCCCCACTCCAGCCATCATGAAACACAACAGAAATGCTCCAGCAATGAGCTTAATGAGCTGCTTCTCTGGGTGCTGATTTGAAAATTATTCAAGACAATGTCTGAGCTTCAGAGAACAACAGGAAAATTAGTTGTTGTTCATGCACCGTGACGTTTCATATATATCTCCCCCTGTTCACCTTGGGAAAATCGTGATCTGTGTCTGTGTGACTGGTTGAATCATGGCATTTTTTAACACACAGCTTTTCCAGTTTTTGAGGAAAATCCCAACAACTTGGTGAGCTGGGTGTGGAAATTGTCGGTAATCTCTTCTGAACTCTAATTTCTCACTAAGCAGAGAGTACAGACTTTGATTTCTCACCAAGCAAGCAGCACAGACGCCAAGTCCTGTACTGCAAGCGTGTAACACCGCATCACAGCACACACAGCAAGGCTGGAAACAAGAGCCTCCGCCCGCCTCCCTGCACACAACAGCACAGGTACCTCCCAGCATCCTGCGGATCTCCTTGTGGGACGTCAGCTGGGCCGGCCGCTCCCCCTTCCTGCTGAGGATCTCCTTATCTGCTCCGCAGAGCAGCAGCTGGGCCACCACAGCCGCGTGGTTCCGCTTGCAGGCCCAGTGCAGGCACGTCCTGCACACCGAACATGGGAACAATGCTTGACTTAATTACTGCAATCCCCCGCTTGTTCTCACTGAATATAAGACGACCTAATGCATGTCTAACATAGTTTTTAGCAGCAATGCCCCTTGCAGATGTGCGCTGCTTCTGGAGTCCGCAGTGACACCTGCTGATGCAGTTTTCCCTTCCCTTGAGATCTTAAGGCGAGGTACCACAGCAGCATCAGCAGGGTTGGTTTCAGATGCTCATTTATTGGGATATTTTTGAGGAAAATAGATATGACTTACGTATGTATTTTTCAATCTCTAAACGAGCAAGTTGCATACTGGCATGTGTGAGCTAAGAACGCGCTCCTTGAGGGCGCTATTTTCAGTCTTTAATTAACGCTTTTTGGGTTTTTGATTAATCCAATCAGTTCACCGAGCTGAGCTCTTCCAGAAGCACATCCGTATCACCGCCCCGTGCCGGGGGCACAGCACTCAGCACGCACTCAGCGGAGCGCACGGCCACTGCTGCCCGTTTCTCCCGCTTCGTGCGGCCGCTCGCCCCCAGAACGTCCCCACAAGGGCCGCTTCGTAACGGCGGTTCGGACGGGGCCGCCCGGAGCATCGCTGCGCGCTCCACCGTTCCGCTCATCCCTACCGGGGAAGCTCCCGGCAACAACGAGCGCGGGGTCGCATCGCTCCCCCCGCCCTCCCCCCGCGGGGCCGCGCACAGCCGTGCCGCCGTGCGGAGCTCCGGGCCGCTCGGTGCCGCCGCCCGCAGAACGCCGCTCCGCCGCCCCGCCCCGCGGCTCTCACCACCCGTTGACTTCGTTCTGCGCGTTGGGGCTGACGCCGAGCGCCAGCAGCCGCCGCACCTCCTCGGCGTCCCCCAGCGCCGCCGCCTCCCGCAGCCGCTCCTGCAGCTCCTTCGCCTCCATCCCCGCGGCCGGGCTGGGAGCGCTGCCGGGCCGCGACGGGGGGACGCAATTCTGTGTTGCAACGCCGAGCGGGAGCTTTGGTTCCTACAGGCAGCGCCGCGTGCGGCCGGCCCGGCTCCGGCTGCGGTTCGGGCTCGGGCTGCTGCCGCTCCGTCGCCCGCATCCCCTCCCTTCTGTGCGCCGCGCCGCTCCGCCGCCATCGGCACGGCTGGCTTTGCAAAGGCGCCTTCCTGCGCTGCTCGGTTTGTCCGAGCGGAGTTCGGGAGAGAAGAGAGGGATGAGAAAAAAAGAGCGCAAATCCCCCGGCATCGCCAGGCGAGAACGGAGCGGGGCGGCCGAGAACGGTGAAAAGGAGGAGCCGCGGCTCGGAGTCACAGCCGGGGATGAGACCCCGCGGGGCCGGGCGGGGCAGCCCGAGGGCGGAGCTGCAGAGACGTCAAAACACAAAACAAAACCCGCGCCCCGCCAGGAGGAGCGCTGAGGCCGGGCGCCGTTCGGCCGAGAATCCCACCGCCCCGCCCCGCGCAGTGCATTGTGGGCCGGGCGAGCAGCGCAGCCGCCATTTTGTCTGTGTCAGTTCGGCGCGGCGCGGGCGGTCGGGGCGCGGGGCCTCGAAGTGCCGGACGCGATGATTTCGGCCGCGCAGCTCCTCGATGAGCTCATGGGCCGGGACAGGAACCTGGCGCCGGACGAGAAGCGCAGCAACGTGCGGTGGGACCACGAGAGCGTGAGTGCGGCGGGGCCGCCTCCGCCCTCCTCCTTCCCCTCCCCCCAGGGCCGGGCCCGGTCGGAGCCGCGCGGCGGGCGGGGCGTCCCCGCTCCGTGCGGGGGGAGCAGCCCGCGCCGAGTGGTCGAGAGCCGGAACCGGAGATCCGGGCGGGGCGCGGGGAGGCCGCGGCTCGGGTGGGAGTCCTGCGCGCGGCGCCGTTAAGCGGAAGCGGGGCGGCCGTTGGGCCCGGCGGGGCGGCGGCGCGGCCACAGGCCGGCAGGGCGGCGCTCAGAGAACGGAGCGGAGCGGGGCTCCCTTTGTTGGCGCCGCGGGGCTCCGGGGCTGAGTGCGGCCGTCCCTCGGCTTTCCTGCAATAAACGACGCCGATAAGGCTTGTCGCGCGCTCCGGGGAACGCTTTCCGCGGTAGAGCCGATCGTTAGCGAATGGTGGTTTTTACTGCCGTCCGTCCTAGCGGTATTGCCGAGTGATTTCCGTAAAGAACAACTAAAACTGAAGCCCGGCAGTGATGACAGAGCTCCTGAAGGCATTTCTCTGGCAGAGATGTGACCTGTGGAAATACAGCTTTATTTCTCCTTCGCAATGCAGTTCTGAGCTACGATGCGTGCTTTAAAGGAAGTGCCACAGTTAGAATGTGATTCCTGACATGTGTTTGGTGTCCCTGTGGGTCAAACTGCAGAACACAAACAGTTGTGCTCTGTGGGGCTCCTCCCAGCTCAGAGCTTTCTCTGTACAGATTTAAGTTGGGAGAAGTGCTCCACTGCTGTCCTCAGCTGTATCTGAGTGGCAGAGGCTGGAATGTGCTGTTTTTCACCCAGATGTGTGTTGCTGAAGGTTGGTGGGTGTGCGTTCCTCCCAGTCTGTGAGATAAGGGCCTTTGCTGTGTGCCTTAGGCTGCCCGATCCCAGCAGCTTGTTGGTTTTTAATTTCTGCTGCATGGATAAGTTGTGCGTGTCAGGAAGGGAGCTGTTGGTTCAGGAAGTATTCACAGCATTCTTGAAGTCCTTCTGCACTTCTTAACCAAACATCGTTGTTCAGTTGAGTGTTCAGTTATGTGTTTTCTTTTGATTCTGGACCCAAAATAAAAAGGGGATGTTCAGCCCTGGAGATACCGAGCAGATGGCCTGAGCCACGTGGGCCCAACTAGAGTAGTGAAGGGGATGGTTTTGGTTCATTTCTGAAGGTGAGGAACATTTGTGTTGTCTTTAATCAGGTTAAGATGACTTTGTCTGTAAAAGAGAAATTTATTTTTTTCAACTTTAGGCTGAAGAGGTTGACTGTAATGATAGGAACCTCTTTAAGATGCCATTCAGCTGTTTGCATGTGCTCTCCAGAAACAGGGCTGCATCCCTTCTTCAGTGCTGGATCCCTCCCTTGTCCCCTCTGTGAGGTGCAGCCTCCATCCTTGTGGGAGCTGCTGCTTTGTTTGCACACTCCTGCCCTTACTGATGAGATTCATGGGGCCACCACCGAAGCAGTGTTTTTATGGGTGCTGTAGTCAGTTGACAGGTTTGTAGCAGATATTTGCTGGTGTTAAAATATAAAGATAAATTTCACTTTAATTCCTTACATCCCAGAGAGATTAAACTTGTAATGCTGGCATGTTTTGAAAGTCAGCAAGTGCAGGTAGGATTCAGAGAGCGGCATGCATTCATCTGCTTGAGTGCTGTTCTGTGTACATGTTAGGATCCTCCCTGGTCAAACTGCACAGCTGTCAACAGGTCACCTGTGTGCTGTCAGTGTCTTGTGCTCTCATACCGAAACTTAGAGTTTGTGTCATGTTTTCAGTTAGGGAAAGTTACCAGAAGGAGCTCATCTCTGTTTCCTTCATCATTTGTAGGTTACACGTGAGCAGATACAGAGATGTGAGGAAGATGCAGTGAAGTACAGGATGGGAATGGGTTGTGTGGAAGCCCCTGAAGCGCAGTGATAGCTGAGTGTTTGTTTGCAGTATTAACAGATCGTGTTTCTCATTACAACACCTGTTGTAGAGCTTATGTTCTTACTTTGAGACTTTCCAGCAGCTGTATGTTTCAGGAGTGCTGGGTGTCCTTGGGTAATCAGTTCTACATCTGGCATAAAGGCATTGTGTTTGGGTCAGCAAGAGCTCACCAGCACTGCATGCTGTTGTCTTGCTGCCTGTTGCAGTGCCCATAGGTGAGGTCTGCTCCTGGAGAGCAGCTAAAAAGCTTCCTCAGTTCAAGTGTTCTTATGTGTACTGGTGCTGTGGGAGCACTGGCGGTGTGAAGCATCTCCTGCGCTGCCTTGTGATGTCCTGCAGGAAGCACTGTGTGTCAGGAGGTGGGGGGCAGGTGGCTGGGAGCCCTTATCCCTGATAGGAGCAGTTATCCCTGATAGGAGCAGTATCTCAAGGAATAGATGCTGTATTTAAAATGCTGTTTGACCCTACTACCTGTTTGCAGTCTGTTACGTGTTTGGTTTTTTTTAATGCCAGAACATGTAAGTTGTTTTGCATGGAGGTAGAATCTCTCATTCTTTTTTTTTTTGTTTTGTTTTTATTGGCTCGTTTTTGTTTTGGTTTGTTGGCTTTGGAAATTGGCTGAAGTGTCACTTGTTAATTGTTTGCTCAGGTACTGTGCAGTACTGTTGCTTTTCTTCCATTGCTCAAATAGGGCTATGGTTATAGACATTTTTACTGACTGTTTTATTTGGTGGCCTAAGGTAATGACAGGAGAGGTGTTCAGGTTGGGTAACAGTGGGTATTTTCATGGCCATTTTCATGTTGTGGGAGGCTGGGCTGGGCTGGGCAGTTCTGACCTCCACAACCAGATTTGCAGTCTATGATTAGTGTGGAAAAAGAGAGAGGACTGAGCTGATGGGGACAGCTGCTGGCCCTGGAGATACAGAGAGGTGGCTGCTGAGGGCAGGTTTTGGTGCTCTCTATTCACCCCCATTTGTTAAAATCCTTCCAAATGTATTTTAAGGAGTACAGTGCCGCTGCTCTGTGTCCAGCATGTGTGAGTGAGCGCTGGATCAGACTGTAATGTACCACATCAGCGATGGCTTCCCTTGGTGTGAAATGTTTAGCGTTAAGAGGTACCACCAGCACAATGGGAAGCAGGCGTTTTGGGGGCGTGTTGTCATTAACTGTGGTTGTAGTGTTTGCTGCCACCACGTAAAGCAAAGGTAGGGCTGGATGTGGGTGAAACTTGGAGAAACGTTGCAGACTGTACTAAAGGGGAGTTTTACTTTGTAGCGTAGAAAATAGAAATAATTACCAAATGTCATCAATTCGCGAGGAAAAAGAAATGCTGCTTGTTTTTCTCTCACCTGACAGGTTTGTAAGTACTACCTTTGTGGCTTTTGCCCAGCTGAATTATTCACAAACACCCGCTCTGATTTAGGTAAGCACCCATGTTGTTTTGTTGCCATTTGGACTTATTGCCATTTGTAAACAGCTTTACTGTCAAAAACGGTCATTTTGGAAATGACCATTCTTAGAGTTGTCAGTGACACCATTTATTAACAATACTTATTCCAAATCCTGCTTCTAAGTGGGGAATTTAATAGTTTTAATTTTACGGTGTGAATTTAATAATCAGAGGTGGAGTTGCTCCATTTCTTTACAAGTGTTGTCTCCTACTTGGATTCAGGCTGTCTGGGCAGCGTTTGAACTTAATGTTTTCAAGCTTACTTAACCTAAGAGGAAACCCACTGAGGAAGGTGGGAGAATTTGCCTGTGGCTGTGCTTCGTGGGCACAGATCTCCTAATTCTACTCTAATGATAAATATTTTAATTGGTCTTTATTTTAAAGAACAACGCCTGAAGTTTAAGGAAGTGCTTTAATTACATTTAATATCTCATTTTACCTTTTTTTAAACCGTATTAAGGCTACACTACTTATTATTTTGTGTAGTTTTACTGATGTAGAAAAATCTGGAAATTATCTTCTATGTGAAAACTTTACACATCATTCAGAATTTCCTTTGGTTTTCTGACACGGAGCCACATCGGCATTCTTCCTGAAATGTTTCTTTCAAACTCCAAGCAAAAGAAGCAGAAAGGTGTTCTGTATAGATGTGCAAACAAATTCTGATAATGTGTTTACAGCATTCAAGAATGCAAGCTTAAAATTTATATGTGGTCTTTTTAGGTCCTTGTGAAAAAATTCATGATGAAAATCTACGTAAACAGTAAGTATGTTGTCACTGTGTTAATGCACAGTGCTTCCAGTGTGCTTGAACTGTCCTATAAACAGCTCCCCATGAAAAACTGACTTCTTACCCTTTGTATGAACATTTGTTTATATAAATTGCGCAGTACTCTGTTACCTTCAGCAGAAGTTTGAGATGTGGCAGCAGATCATTGTTTCTTGTATGTTAGGAAGTGATGTGGGCTTTCATTTAAACAATGTCTCTCCATACAGGTATGAGAAGAGCTCTCGTTTTATGAAAGTGGGCTATGAAAGAGACTTCCTGCGCTATTTACAAAGCTTGCTGGCAGAAGTAGAACGCAGGATTAGAAGAGGCCATGCTCGCTTGGCGCTGTCACAGAACCAGCAGTCTTCTGGGGTGAGTCTGGAAGAATCATTGAGGCAAATAATTTTACCTCGAAGATGAAAACGTTACCTGTTTACTTTGTGTCCCCAGGTGACCCAAGAGATGCCCACTAGATCAGTCACTTCCCATGGTAGCCTGCCTAGTGGCATTGGACAGGCCAAGTGCCTGCAGTCAGCCAGCAGGAATCCCTCTCTGCTTTCCCCAGTGCTGTTCTCTCAGATCAGTACTCAGTCCCCTCTCTGGGACCATGAATCCTGTCGAGTGTTGTCTTCACCCTGTTAAACCTCAGCTTACCTTCTATCCCAGTTAGGCATTTGAATTTAGACTGCTGTTTTTGTGGGCTATGGCCTCAAATGCTTTTGTTGATTTTGAGGGGAATTGAATAGAATTTGCTTCACTCAGCAAGGAGGGCACTGTGTCCAGGGGTGTTTTGTGTTAGACCAGTCTACTCATAGCTGTAGAGGTAGGATGAGGCCGTTCCCAAAGTGCCTCTGGAATATAAGAAGACACAGTTGGTGTGTTTCAGAATTTCCTGCTATTTGTTTTTACTTAAATAAGTGATGCCTTTGTATCCCTTGGCAGGCAGCGGGACCTACTGGTAAAAACGAAGAGAAGATTCAAGTATTAACTGACAAAATTGATGTACTACTACAACAGGTGAGTTTACGTTCTGTAGCAGATCTCTTAATTTTGTCACTTGCTGAAAGGTTTTAGCTTGTTTTTTGTTGTCCTTCAGATTGAAGAACTGGGCTCAGAAGGGAAGGTGGAAGAGGCACAAGGAATGATGAAACTTGTTGAACAATTAAAAGAAGAGAGAGAGTTGCTGAGGTCTACAACTTCAGTAAGTAACACGTTGTTAGTTCTGTCAGGTGGGATTCCAAATGTGGTGTAACATTACATTCCCAGTCCCCTTGTCAGTGGTGCTGTAAAACAGGAGTGAAGGATTGGACAGCAGCATGGCATGTACACGTGTTACTGTGTGCTGATTCAGAGCAGTGTCTTGAGTGTGGGTTTAATGCTTACAAGTTAGGAAATTGTTTACACTGCAGTCATACGGGTTTGTGTGCAGATTTTGCTAGGTCAGGTCTTAGTTAAACTTTGAGGTGTAGTTTCCTGTATTTAAGCAACTGAACACCACGCAGCCATTTGCTTTCTCTCTCCCAGTAGGACGGGAGTGGCAATACATGGCTTATTCTTATCATGTTCATCCTGGGTTCAGTGCTTCAAACGCAGGCTGTGCTGTTAGGACCTGGAGCTTTTGTGGCAGTAACAACAGTAATGGTAAAGTTCCGAATGTCTTCGCTGTCACCTGTCTAACATTTGTTTTTCTTTCATCTAATATGTTCTTTTGCAGACGATTGAGAGCTTTGCAGCACAGGAAAAGCAAATGGAAGTTTGTGAAGTTTGTGGAGCATTCTTAATTGTAGGAGATGCACAGTCCAGGGTAGACGACCATTTGATGGGAAAGCAGCACATGGGTTATGCCAAAATAAAAGCTACTGTAGAAGATTTGAAAGTAAGCATGTCTTTAGTTACTGAATGTAAAAACTGCTTGGAGGCTTCCTGTGGTAAACAGAGGGCCGACCTGTGGGCTTTCTCAAGTGTGTGAAAGACTCCAGAAATGGTGCATGTAGAAGATGAAATAGAATTCTGCTCTCGGCATTTGGCTTTGTGCATGCACTGATGTCCTTGCTCGTATGTGATTGTTCTGTATGTGAGTGAAGAAGTAAATTCAGGTAGGAATTTTGTGGATGTTGTTAAGTGGCCTACATTCTTGTGAGAGTTACAAGGATAAAATCTCCGTGAGAGAGGATGCCAGTTTCAGGGGTTGTAGAAAATGCTTCTGTGTAGGCTGCCCTTTGTCAAAATGAAAGGTTAAGCTTCTGCATCCTGGGATTGTATGAAGAAAGTTACGTTAAATGGTTTTCCTTCGAAGTTCTTATTTTTCCCTGACTTATCTTGAAGGAAAAGTTACGGAAAAGGACAGAAGAACCTGACCGTGATGACAGGTTAAAGAAAGAGAAACAAGAACGAGAAGAGAGAGAGAAAGAGAGGGAACGAGAGAGAGAAGAGCGGGAAAGGAAGAGAAGGCGTGAAGAAGAAGAGAAAGAAAAAGAGAGAGCCCGTGACAGAGAGAGGCGTAAGAGGAGTCGCTCCCGGAGCAGGCATTCGAGCAGAACGTCTGACAGAAGGTGCAGCCGTTCGCGAGACCACAAGAGATCAAGAAGCAGAGAAAGAAGGCGAAGCAGGTACAGGAACAGAGTATTTTCACACAGCTTTTCTGAACGTTAAAGTCTTGCGTGGGCCTGATCTGTCAGCCTGGGCCACATCAGTAACTTGTTAGCTTTGCTATTCTTCTCTCTCATTGAGAGCACATTTACTGTTTCTACGGATAAGAAGGTTTGGTGCACAGTTATGGCCTTCCCTGCATTTTTGGAAGTAGACTACGTCTTTGTGGTGAAGTGGTTGTACAAAGGAGCTTTGAGTACACTTGCTCCTGAAGGACAGTTTTTTTTTTTTTTGTTTCCTTTTTCTTCTCTTCCTCCTCCCCTCCCCCCCCTTAATTTTCCAAGGATTTCAATTCCTGATGGCTATTCTTAAGCTGCGAGGTTGGGTGTTTGAGATGAAGGTGGCAGTGTGAAGCCAGATCTTGCATACTGAGAAATATTTGCACACAGCAAATAGTTGTTTTCTGTAAACAGTGAATATATTGGAATATGGAAGCGGGTTCTGTTCTGTGAGTTCCAGCTGACATTGACATTTCTCATGTTTTCTGTGAATGTCCAGGAGTCGTGACCGGAGAAGAAGCAGGAGCCATGATAGATCAGAAAGAAAACATAGGTCTCGCAGCAGGGACAGGAGGCGATCAAAAAGCCGTGATCGGAAATCTTATAAGCACAGAAGCAAAAGCAGAGAGAGAGAACAAGACAGGAAGTCAAAAGAAAAAGGTATGTTTGTATGAAGGCTGAATTTGTATTAAATTCTGTAATCGATCTTTTCCTGACATCTGAAAAGTTTGTAGTTTCCAGTCAGGGACTGAAACTTCTTTTTAGCAACAAATCAGAGCTGGTTCGATAAGCAGAAAGTGTTGTTGTAACTGATTTGGAGCATTATCTTCTTCTAATCATTGTTAATGCCTGTGTGTGCATACATACACCCAGCATCCGCCTCTCGTCTGTTACAGTAGGAATTAAGAGCTTACTACTTTGTCTGCAAGCTAAGTGTGCTGGGGTTTAGATGTGTTTTAAAGCTTGTGGCCAGTTTACCTTTAGAAAAACGTTTGCACTGTGATGAGGTTTTTTTTGAATGAGTATTCTTCTGTTCTTACTGTTGACAAATATTTTTGTAATTACCCTTTGCTTTCATGTGTTTCGTGACAGATCAGTAGTTGTTTCCACTTGTAGCATCTACTAATTGTCTATTAGTTGTCATTTCCTTTATTTTTCTTCAGAAGACAGCTAAAAGCACTGGTAATCTATGAATGCAGTTGAAGATAAATCTTGCAGAACTCCTCTGCTCTAAAAGACAGTCCCGTGCTGTCTCTTCCCCTGCTCCCCCCCTTGCTCCTTTCCTCCCCTCCATGCTCCTTCCCCCCCATTTTTTTAATGTCTAAATGAATTGAGATTCGCTCGGTCGATACTCAGGTGAGTCTCAAAGGAATGCCATGCAGTCCTCAACGCATCACAGCACTCCATACAGCATGGTGGCAGCTCGCTGCTGCTTACCAGAGACTGAAGTTTCAGAAGGGGTCAGAAAAGAGCTATAGAAGAGGCTCTCTGCAATGAAAGGTGCTGCGTGCATGTTACCTGGGCCTGTTTGCTCTAACCTTCCCCATAGTTACCTGGTCCAGAGCCAGTTCTTGTAGAGTAGGTGATGCTTTGCCTTTCCATTGCCTGATTTTCTTGGACCATTTTGTTTTTTCTGGTTTATACCAGTGCATTTTTAGCATTGATTCTTTTCTCAATTTGCTGTGCCCTTTATTGGCGAGTGGGCTTTGTTTTGTTTTGCTGCCTGCTTGTGGGCAGAGGAGCCCATGTCTGGTGTTCAGGTTCAAACCCAGTGTGATAGTTTGTATCTTTCCATTCCTTCCTTTCTTCCTACCCAATGCTGTGCCTTTTTCGCCTACTTCATGAATAGATTGTGCTCTTCAATGTTCTGTGTCTGTCTGTGCATATAAATAGCTCGTCTTGTTTAAATTTGCTATATTTCGTAGGGCTTATGGCTTTTCAGTTCTTTCTGGCATCTTTTCATAAGTAGAGAGGCCAGTAAGCTTTCTTCAGCATATCAGGATTTCCAGTTTAAACGTGGCTGATTTCCTTGCTGTCCATTCTGTTTGCTGCTTGCTACCTTTTTCCTCTAGAAATGAGCTGTGATACCACTACCACTTCCCACTGATGGGGAAATCAGTTACACTTTGTTTTTCTGACTGTAACGTGTAGAAGTATGAATAGGCCTTTGAGAAGGACTGTAATGCTGCAGAGCTTTGTGCTTTTCTGTCCAGAGGAATCTTTTTTTTAAAAAAAAAAATAAAAAATTGGGAGGACAGTTGGTGTTTTTTAAGAACCAAGTGTCGAGTTGTGCAGTGATGCTGTTGACACTGTTGCATTCTCATGCTGCTGTTAACTGTAGGCAGTTAATTCAGCAGTTTGCTGTGGGTGTTCGTGTGTCTGCAGTGTGAGGCTGGCTGCTCACTCTGGCAGCCTTCACTCACTGCTCTGTTGGACATACTGGCTTCAGAATGGAGTTGTCTTTATATACACTGTTGATCTCCGATTTATACAAGTAAGCAGCAAAGGCCTGACTGTAACACATGGAGTGCCTTTCATCTTGAAGTCTCAAACAGCTTTTTGAACATGAATCTAGCAGGAAAAAAAGACAAGGCACAGACCCGAGGCTTGCCTACTGTTACACATTAAATCACAACCAAGCTTTGAAAACTCACAAGTCCTGGCTTTTTGATGGCTAAAGTGCTGTGGCCTACAGTGACCTTCATGGTTATATGAGGAAGTGTTTGAAATCTGAGGCACGTTATTTCAAACTCCTGTTTCAGGAGCAGGGAAACATCTGCTAAAGGAGAGGCAGCTGCCAACCATAACCACCAGTTGAGCATGAGCACAGCTGCTGTTTATGTAAGCTAATCTCAGCATAGGTGGCATAAATAGTTGGGGGGGGGGAAAAGGTTGTTTGAATACCTTCATTACATGAAGGATCAATGCTGGCATGTGCCACCAGGCCACTTCTACTTGGCTTACCTCCTGCAATCTGGATTCATGAACTTGTGTAAAAGTCATTGATTTGGTGCTTGTCTTCCTGTTAGTCATTAAACCTCAGTAATGTCAAAGCACTCAAACTGTCAGTAAGAGGATATCGTGTTTAACAGGCTGGCTTTCATTCTCTGGGCAGTAAAACTGTTTGCAGTGTCTTGGTAAGAATTCTTACAGAACATTACAGTTTCCCACACAAACAAATAGGAAAATGTGCATGTGTTGAATCAGGAAGCAGAGTCAATGTGTGATTATACACAGTAGATCACAGCTCAAATAATCTATGCGGAGTACCAACAGCAAGCTAATTGTATGTGCTTATTCAACAAAACCCAAGTCTTACTGATGGGGAACGCAGTGAGGGAACACAACTGTTTGCAGATACGCCAGGAGCGGGAAGAATCGCAGTTGGTTGAACTGCTGGTCAGTTCTGCTTGGCAGCTGGGAACTCTGCTGGGGTAGAACTGCTCTGTCGTCAGAGGGGTTAGAGGAATGCCACAGGTTAACAGTCATTTTTAATCTCAAACAAAATTATCCCTCCTGACCTAATTTGAGAAAGCAAGACAAAACAAAACCCTGCACACTGCACATCCATAGGGCTATTAAGATCTGCCGTATCTACATAGGACAGAAGATAAGATTATTGGACTGACTACTAGTCCTCTGCGGGGAAACAAGACTACTATTCCTCAGTGGATCTACGTGTGCATCGGAGATACCTATAAGACACAAACAGAAGACTTTGTAACAAGGTTAGTTAGAGTGCCATCTACCTGCGGAGTTGCAAACGGAGGGCAGGCAGAAGGGCGTCGCTCAGAGTGCCGTGGCACCGCGGTGCTGCGTGCGGCGGCGCTGCTCAGCGGAACCCAATAGCCGTGTTTGTAGGCAGCTGCCCTGTTGCTGTGCGGAGGTTCCCCTCCCTCTGGCCGTGTGTTAAAAGCAGCGGAGCTGGGGTGATGCTTCTCTCCTGAAGCTTAATTTCCGCTTTGTCTTCTGAAGTACAGAAGTGTGTCACGCCAGCCTAGGTGGTAATGCTGTTTAAAGTAACTTTTTCAGAGTGTTCGGTCTGTGCGCTCCTGTTTTGGGGATGGATTTATGTGTGCCTGTGTATGTTTGTTTTAATTGCCCAGGCAGCAGGGAGCAATTGGAAAAACGAGCATGAATGTTCAGTGTGGTAACATCTGAGAGGTGGTTCTTCTGTTTGGATTTTTTTCTCTCTGAAGTGCCTTTACAAAGGGTTGAATGTTATGATGTGTAGTAATATGGGAAGAATTGATATTTTATTAAATTTGCAAACACAGAATTTACAGACGAGGCACACAGCTCTGCTACTGAGCGTTTTTCTTTCTATGGAAATACTTTATTTCTGGCTTCCTTCCTTCTTGAAGATGACTAAAGAAAAGATGCATTTCCCAGCAGGTAGTGAGCTCCTCAGTGCCAACCAGCTTTCTCACTGATGATGAAACTGTGGGGTCGTTCCCATTTTGCTGTTCCTTTGCCTTTGGAATACGGTGCTTTTTGTGTACCGTCCAAACTGTTTCCAAACTGAGAATCAGTAATGCTGATGTGACGTGCTGTCCAGTAAAGTTAATTTTGATCGTTATGTGATCTTCGCCTTCAAAGCTAGCTGTGCTTAAGACTGCTTGTTTCCTGAATGTTTGATTGCTTGGGGTTGCTGATTTTATTTTTTTTTAACTGGGCAAAATAATGCACTCATGCATCACCCCCATGCGTCACCAATTAAAGCTGGAGACAAGAAAGAACCTCTAACAAGTGAGGAAGCCCGACGCCTTTCTGCGCTGCCGCAGTCGCTGCGTTCCAGCAGACAGCTGTGCTGCTGCCTCTGTCAGCTCTGTCCCCCCCAGCACCCCCAGCCTGTTCTGTCCCCTCTGACACTTTGTGGTACCCTGTCCCTTCCAGGATGGTAGCTTGGAGACTATTTCTATGACTTTGAGTATTAATACTGTGATTGTAGGAAATAATTGTCTGTTTTTTTTTTTTTAATTTTTTTTTAATGCAATGTATCTCACGTGTGCAATGTTTGTTTTTACTTTGAAATCCATGGTCAATGTCTTCTTTCATGGCAGAAAAGAGGGGATCTGATGATAAAAAAAGTAGTGTGAAGTCCAGTAGTCGAGAAAAACAGAGTGAAGACACAAATACAGACTCGAAGGAGAGTGATACTAAGAATGAGGTCAATGGGACCAGTGAAGACATTAAATCTGAAGGTGACACTCAGTCCAATTAAAACTGATCTGATATGACCTCAGATCAGACAGAGGTAAGTGCATTATTTCAAACTTTGATTAGGGCTTTTTGTTACTGTTTAACAGTGCAGCGTAAGTATGCACAGATGAAGATGGAGCTAAGCCAAGTAAGAAGACATACTAAAGCACCTTCTGAAGGAAAAGACAGTGTAGTCCTGCAAAACATTTTGAGGTACATTGTTTTGTCTCAGCTATTTTGTAGCAGACTCGTGCCCCATTAGTGTGCCTCTTTGGGACATATTGTAATATAGTCACCATAGAAACAGTAATTATCCTTTTTTTATTTTTAGGGATTTTGTTATCGTTTTTAAAAAAAAAAAGTTGAACTGTTTTTGTATTTAAGTCCATATTGTGTTGGTACATCAGCAGAAACTTTTGCTTTAATGCTTAATATTTGAGGCACATGTTGGACTACTTTGTTTTTATATAAACTGCTAGTATTTCTTTGTCAAGGATGTTTCTAGTTTTTTTTTTGCTTTATTGCCTTGCATTCTAATGCAGTTTGTTCTGTAACTCGAGAGCCAGTAGCATTGGATTGATGGAAGTGTAGGGTTTATGAATTATTGCAGCTGACTACCATACCTCACACAGCGTTGGTGTTGTGAGCGGCCCATGAAAAGCCAAATTAAAAATCAAGGATTCAGTCAAACTAAGCAGGTACTCATGCCAGGTACTCCTTTCTCTACCCACATCCATGTTTGAATGCTGTTGCCTGTAATCTTTAAGCTTACTGTTGTGTTTTTGATTTTCAAGATAGTGAGAAGGACTTCTCGTGTATTGTGTGAATACTGTAAATCTGATGTTAACAGAACGGGATTTTCTTCCAACTGTGTGTAGGGATGCAGAGGTGCCCAGAATTAGATATCTTTAAAGAGTTAAAAATGCAATAAACACTACATAATAACCGCCTTGTTACTTTCAATGCAATTCAAGTCTTTAAGAGGTATGTGCTTAATATTTCCTACTGCGTAGGAGAGTTTGCGATCAGCCGTAGCACAGAGAGGTGGAATGGCTGATGCCACGTTTGTAAGGCAAATAGAAATACGAAGTCAGATGCCAGAAAACTGTTATGGTGTTCGTGGCAAGAGTGTGTGCTGAGAAAGTATTTGCTGGAAACCAGGTGGCTAAACATGAGGAAATGCAGATACTTGGAAGCTTTCCCCCAGCTCCTGACATTCCTTTACCTGAGGTTTCCGTAGTTGCATTCCTGAAATAAGGAACTAACAGTGGAGAGTACGGCTGATAAATGAGTTTCATGCAACAGAAGCTGTTAGTACAGCTTGGCTGTCTGTGCTCAGAAACCTGGGACGCGTGGTGTCGGTCGTGACGCCGTTACTGCTGCGTTACTGCTGCTAAAGCCAGTGCTGCTCAGTGTCGACATCTCTGTAGCGTTAAGATGCAGCTAACAGCTGGGCCAGGATAGAGCTGCTGAGCAGAATGCTCTCTGCGCTGCCTAATTGTCTGCTCTCCCAACGTTTTGCATTGCAGGACTGCTACGTGAAGAGTCTGCGAAGACGGCGGCAGACAGCTTAACGTGAAGATCTGCTTTAAAATGAGGTGAAAGAAAGCTGTAGTGGCGTAGAAAAATATAAGTTGAGTTAGATATTTTTTTTTATAAAATTAAATTCAGGACTGGTTTTTCCTCCCAGAGCTCAGAAAGATGTGTTGATAGCATATATGCTACTGAGAATATAAGTCCTGTATCCTTTTTTTTTTTTTTTTCCTTTAAGTCTTTTTAAGATAAGAAACCAACATAACCTGAACACATGGCTTGCTCAGTGTTTAATTGCAAGTTTTCATTCTTGGACTTTAAAACACAAAAATAAATGTTTAGTATTTGTGTGAATCGAACTAAAACAAATCCCATTTTTACAACTAAGGTATTCCTAGCTTCTTGATATATGAAAAATGGAAATAAAGTATCTTTGAATTTCTGTTACAAATTTGATGGTCTCTGTCATTAACATTTAGTATTAAATAAGTTTTTCTTTCCTAATAAATCTGCTTGTGTCTTCAAGCTTAGTCTATTAATTGGATGTTCAGTTGTTCTGTGGTTTGGCATCCTGACACCACTTTTATTTCTCATTTAAAAATGTACTGCTGTGTGATTTATTTATTTTTTGTTTTTTTCAAAATGGTGATGAAACATCAAACTGGTTCTGTCCCCTGTTATCCTGCCCTCCCCCTGGGCCAGGGACCTGGGCAGGGAAACATCCCTGCTTCATGGAGCCCAGTGCAGGGCAGGTCTGTAGCACTAACAGCAGCGGTTGGAAGAACAGAGACTTGTGTGGCTTGTTTCAGTTGTTGTTAACAAGTTTATTGTTCAAAAAAAGCAAAAGGAAATAACCCTGAAGTAGTGTGCCCTAGAGTTTATCAAACTGCATAAAACATACAAAAATATTTCTCTGAATGCATAGACTTCTTATCACAGTCAAATCACAATTAATGTTTTAGTCTCCTCTCGTTAACAGTTACTCCTTGTCAAAACCGGAGCAAAGAAAGCTTTAAGACCAGCTGCTCCTACAGCTGCACGTTCAGTAATTGGTAGAGGCAGTCTTCACAGTGATGTCCTAAATACAGGAGCTGGAAGCAAACAACACCCAGTGCAGGTTTGGAGCAGTTATTGCACATCGTCTGAGCTAGTCTGCAAGTTATCGCATAAAGATGAATGTGTAATGCTGTGGTGAAAGTGCCTTTCCTAAGAACAAAGTGGGAGCCCAGGGTGGGAATTCCTATTTCATAGTGTGTCTTTAGCTTATGAGGAGCTGGGTCTGGGCTTCAGCTCCTGGACTGAGGAATATTCAGTGCATTCATAGTGATAGGGAGCAGGGGAAAAGGATGGCAATTGCTTTCAGTCCACTAAGCAGGAGTTCTAAGCCCAAGTAACTTAATGGGAAGCCTGAACAGCAGAGTCTCAGCTGCCTCTTGGCTGCTTTTCCCTGAAATGGGTGCTGATAGCGGCGTCCCTCCCAGGGCCCTGCACTGCACAGTGGTGCTGGGAGCCAGCATGGGCGCAGGGCATTGCGCTGCCTGCTTGTGTCTGAAGGCAGCAGGGTCTGCACCACAGGGACAAGGAAAAACTTCTTAAGACTGTGCTACTGCTGAGGTGCAGGGGTGGTTGGAGTGCGGGTGCCTTGGGCCGGCTGGCACAATTCCCAGAGCAGTGCTGCTGCCTGGTCCTGTCCCCGAAACACTGCTTTAATACCACGCAGTGTTTGTTACTGTCCGTGTTACTCCTGCACTGCAGGCCTGGGCCTGAAGGGGGGCATGAAAGCCATTTCCTGATTGTCTTTTCCATCACTCCTGCTTGGTTCAAAGAGGGGGAGTACTCTGCAGAATTTCTTTGCTGCCCTCTGTTGCTTCATACAACTAAAGAACTTAACTGCATGGGAAGCATGTGATCTTAGTATACAAATGAGGTATCCTGAATTATCTGGATATAGTACCAAGTAAGAAAAATAAAAGCAAAGGGGGATATTAAATACCAAAGACATTATTAGTTCAAATATTAGCCCCAGCAGTAACGTAAGGTTCCCCAGATGCCCATTCACTGCCTCCCCGGGGCAGCAGTGTATAACCGTTGTGCTTCCAGGCTGCAGGTGGCACTCAGTAGGTCAGCTTGGAGGCTCTGCTGTTGTAGCACGATCTCTCAGTCAAAGCTGGTGCAGCATTTCTGAAGGGAGAGCTGTCGCTTCTCACAAGAACCAACTCCAGCTCTTGGAAGTCCTGCAGCCTGGCGACATCCTTGTCCTGACAGAGACAGAACAATTGCCCTCAACGTAGCTGGCCGTACTTGGCATGTACTTAGATTAGCTAAAGAAAGTGAAAACTAAAATTGGGGAATGCAGATGCGATGATAGGAATACGTGATGGACAAAAGCAGCCCTGTCAGTACATGCTCTCAAAGCATGGTTTTGTTCTCTTGAGCCTTGTTATAATTTGGCTGTGTTTGTGTAACTGAAGTCAGAGTTGAGACCAAACACGTTTCCTTTACAAACTACAGAACTATCTTTGGACCGTAAGAAATGCTTGTTTGCTAAAGGCTTATCTATAAATTACGCAAGTACCAGTTTCTGGTATTTCTTCCCCTAATATTTTTCTCCTTAAACAAGCTAATACTGAAGCCCTACATGGCAACCGTGTTAGTACACTAATGTACCCTGATATATTAAAAAAGAAAATGGATCTAACATTCCGTGTACTTGAGGAGCTGAAATAATGGCTTCCTTTGACAATATTTTAAGTGAGGTGCAGGACCAGTCCAGTGTCCTTTCAAGTTTATGAGCTTAAGTGGTTTTGTTTTTTAGCACGTCACACTTTGCTGATGACTCACAGAAATGTCTTTGCTGGTGCCTGCAAAGCACTCAGTCAGATCATCCCCCACTCCACCTCCTACCTTTCTCAGCACTGTGTTTGGTAGCTTCCTGATCCTCTCTACGTGCTGAGGATTAAGGCCCAGCTCACAGCAGCTCACTCTGAGCAGATCTTGGTAAGTCAGCTCCTGTCTGTCCAGTTCAATTTCAATGAAGTCGTCGTCTCTGGGGTTCTGCACTCTCACCTTAAGCACAAGTTCTGATTTAAAACAACAAAAACTGATTAGTTATTTCCCTAACAACTGGAGAAAACCAAACTACAGTATCACAATTATCTTTTGAGCTCAGGTTGTACAATGCAGTGTCTGTTGCCTCACTGCGCAATGAAGGGAAGCGTTCATTCAGAGCAGCTGCAGCTGAAGGGCGCAGGCTGACAGTGCTGGCAGTCTGACCCACCCTGCTGCCACCAAACCACCGTGCTCTGTTCTGTGCCAAGTCATATTTTGCAAAATGTGAGGTTTTCTTTGCTTAGTCATAACAACTGATATTTTCCAGGTGTAGAGGAATGGAGCATGCAGAGCATCACTGTGTTTAAGGTACAGTACAATAGCTATTCTTTGTTACACGAGCAGGAAGAAATAAAAGGTCTGTGTATCGTCTGTAAATTTGATTTGTGGCCAAAGAAATCAACATCCCCACAACACTGTGAAACTGGAGCGAATCCTTAACTTCACCAGTAACAAAAACATGGAACAGTGCAACAGAAGGATGAAAATTGCCCTTTGTTACCTTTCACGTTGCATGGGAAAGTTCCACTAAAGAAGAAGGGCTGAAATGCAGGCACAGGCCCAGGCGGTGGGCAGCTGCTCTGCGGCACAGCCTGTCTGGGTGCTGCTGGCACAAACAGAGCCGAGCTGCGTGCTGGGGGCTGGCAGGAGCTGCTCTGTAGCCCCAGCTCTGTGCATTCTGCAGCTGAGGGCACAGCCGGCAGGACGGGCAGCTGTGCTGCAGCAGGAAGGCTGTCCTCACTGGAGCACCGCGTGGACGCGCACACACTTTCAACCTGGGCTGCTGAGGAACGAGGACTGATTTCGCTCTGGGAAGCTGGAGAGATGGAAGTGCTTTCATTTGGAGATTCTGCTGAGCTGTGCAGGGGGCTTTCATCTGGACAGCTGTGAGGGAACGGCGGGGTGGCCGGACAGCTGGCAGCAGCTGGGGGGGTCACAGCACTGACTCCTTGGCAGTCCTTTTCTTCCTCTGTGACTGAAGTTCAGCAATGGGGCATAGGGGATAAAGAGAGAAAAGCCACTGCGTAACTGAATGCATCTCCCTCATTGAATACAGTGTTCATATGAAAGATACATCAAGTTCAAGGTAAATAATACAAGGATAATACTACATTTTAAGGATGCAACATCAGGAAGACAAGTGGCTATGAAATGAAAGAAAATCAAGAGAAACACAAATATCTCTGAAATGTACTATTTAAAACAAAGTAGAAGAAAAGCCATTGAAAAATGGTGTTTCCAGAAGTGCAGTTCCTGTTACTCCAGAGCTGACCAGTGGTATTTCGCTGTATCCTATTCTGCAATGCTTTAAATGCAGCACTGCAAATGGTTTATTACAGCCCACACCAGGGCATTAACAGCGCATCTCCGGTGAGGGGATGCAGCTCCAGGCCTCGTCCCGCCCCGCAGCCCTGCAGGAGGCGGGAGGAGGAGTTGGGAACTCGGCTCACAATGAAACCACCGTGCGGGAGGCGAGCGGCAGGCGCCGTTCCCCGAAGCCACGGAATCGGATGCGGCCCGAGCCGCGCGGGACGAAGCCCTACGAAGCGCGAAGGCGGGGCGGTACCTCCCAGAATCCTGCGGATGTGCGCTTTGGCCGTCAGCTGCTCGGCCAGCTGCCCCGCGCCCGTGGGGATGCGGCGGTCGGCGCCCGCGTCCAGCAGCAGCGCCACCACCGGCGCGTGGCTCCGCTTGCAGGCCCAGTGCAGGCAGGTCCTGCGGAGGGAAGCGGCGCCGTCAGAGCCTGCGGGGCGCAGCGCACACGGCGCGGGTTCCCGGCACGGAGCACGGAAAGGTCCTTCAACTCCGCTCCTACGGTTCTATGAACTCCTGGAGCCGCGATGCTCTCCGAGCCGCGCTTTGCCCCTCCGCGGTTCTCTAGCGCAGTGGCAGCGGGAGGAAGGGCGATTCGGCATCTCGGAGCCGCCGAGCTCAGCGTTTCTTTCCGTGTCACTCCGGGATGAGGAGGAACCGCTCCTCGGGTACAGCGCGGCTGCGGCCCATCGCGCAGCACGGCATCCCACAGCACAGCACAGCCCATCCCGCAGCACAGCACAGCACAACACAGCACGGCATCCCACAGCACAGCACGGCCCATCCCGCCGCAGGCCCCTCGCCGCCCCTCACCAGCCGTCGATCTCGTTACGGGAGTTGACGTCCGCCCCCGCCGCCAGCAGCCGCCGCACCTCCTCGGCGTCTCCGAGCGCCGCCGCCTCCCGCAGCCGCTCCTGCAGCTCCTCCGGGCCGCCGCTCATCGCTCTCCCAGGCGCGGACCTTCCTCGGCGCCGCCACCCCACCCGCGGATCCCGTCACGGATACGCGGCGTTACGCGGGGCCGGGCGGCCGCCTCCGCTCCCCGCCGCTCCGCCGGGCCCCCGCCGCCCCGAGCCCGGCCCCGCGCTGCCTCCTCGCTGCCGCCGCC